GATGACCCCAGAGTTAGTGCGCCACGTTTATGTCTCTGCAGCATGTCTCTTCATGTTGGTGGAACAGATGAATGTTGTGGTTCTAACTGTGGAACCTGTGTTGACCAGGGTTCTAATCTGGATTCTAATCTGGATTCTAATCTGACGTCACAGATTAAAAAGGTCAACGATTCCCTTCTCAGTAAAGTCAGGATAAATATATCAAATATAACATCTTAACCCCTCATGTACCATTACCCACAATTCAGTGCTGGCTCACCGTTCCTGTCCTGGGATTCCTGGGACTTCTGAGGTTCCTTTGAGCCGCTGGTTTTCGGTGCCGTTGTTTTCCCGGCGTCTGGTCTGACGGCGGCGCTGGAGGATGAGCAGGCCGAGGCCGTGACCTTCAGCTGGGTGAAGGTCACTCTGCTGCCGACGGAGCCCGGTGCGGCGGGTGCACAGGCCGGTCTCACGGTGACCGGACACGCTCTGGTCAGAGCCCTGGAGGACGCCGACGTCTCCTCCGGCTGCGGAGAGAAGAAGGAGAAGAAGAGAGGGTGGAGGCGTGTCGTCAGTGACGTCTGATTAAACCCCTGTTCTCCTGTGACGCCCCGCCGTAATGAAGCAGCACCGACGATGACCGCTGATTAAGAAACGGGACTTTGTTTGGGCAGGAAATTATTGGGTGACTCAGAAAATCAGGCTGCCCTTCTAATCCCCCCCCCCCCCCCTGATCTTCCGCCTCTTTAATCAGCTGCTGCAATCTCCCCCTCTATCAGGCCGACTTCAACCCTCTCCCTGTCATCTGCAGTGGTGCCAGCGGCAGCAGCCACTGCTGCATCGGCAGCGCTAACAGGCTACTTCCTGTTCGCATGAGCACATCATTCAACACACACACACACACACACACACACCAGACAGAGTCGTACATCACATTCACAGAGGCCTCAGAGAGACAGAGCCTCAGCTGTCAGACGACCAAAGGTGGGGGGCGGGGGCCTTAGGTCGGACACAGAAATGCTGCGGCCTGTTGGTGTAGTTATAAAGAGGAGAGGTTTTTTTCTTCTGTGGCAGAGAGGAGAGAGGGAGAAGCGAGGAGGAGAGCTCACGCGCCCAAACCTCAGGAGAATTTCCCACAATCCCATCCATCTGCGACTGACGCATTCTCTATCTCTGGCGTTTTAATTCCCCGATCAAGTTCATCAACCATCTGTTGTAGGGCAGTCCAGAAATCCATGCCTCTGTGATTCAGCTGTTCCTGCTGCAGTGTGTGTGTGTGTGTGTGTGTGTCACCTACACACACGCCGGGAACGCACTCAGATACACACACTGATGTGAAGGAAGGAAGGAAGGAAGGAAGGAAGGAAGGAAGGAAGGAAGGAAGAGAAAGTAAAGAGAGATGCAGAAGATTCTCCCCAACAACCCAGGGCTGGAGCGACGCTGGAGCCAGTGGGAGGACAGTTGAGTTCAGCCGCTCCCCAGAGAGAGAGCTGTGGATGGTGCGGCAGCACACAGTGTGTGTGTGTGTGTGTGTGAGAGAGAGAGTGTGTGTGAGAGCACACACACACACCCTTGGACAAGGAGAATGCTGAGAGAAAGATGATCTGCACACAAGCTGGGACTGAGGGGACAGCTGGCCTAACCACCACTTCCTGTTACTCACAGCTATAAAACACACACACGCACACACACACACCCTCTGAAAGTGAAATTTGCAGAAATTTCCCTTTAAAGTCAAAAGACAATAGAAAATAGAAGCTTTTTAAAACTAAAAATACTTTTTAGTAATGCGTTTAGCGCCCCCTGGAGGTTGAGGAGACGGCTGACACGGCTGTGCCTGTGTGCTGTAAACAGTTATTCATTCACACCTGAGCTCATCTACAGTGTTAACACGGACTGAAGAGGAGCCGCAGCCCTGTGTTTGAGAACAACGAGATTTAGATCTCGTCAAAGAATTTCCCGTCATAAAACTTCCCGGTTTTTCAAATAGAAATCACAAAAAAAATTAAATTAAGTTAAAAAACCCGTGCTGTGACATTTACTACAGTACTTTAAGGAAAAAAACCCCGTGCTGTGACATTTACTACAGTACTACTACTGAAGTACTACTACTGAAATTCACAAATACCTTCTCTGCAGCCGAGGTTGATGAATGCTCAGTCACTGACACCTGTAGGTTTAACAAAGACATTACATGAGCGTGAGAGGAGCGCGCGCAGACTCCATTACAATGTGCAGTTGCGTAGACTCACCGGCAGGGGGTGTAAAGTGCTCGTCTCCTCCCGTTTCCCCTGTTGGGTGAGAGAGTTTTGCCGTTAGTCGATGGGAGAGGTGACACGTCACTCGCTGAACTTTGACTCAGTTTTTCAGATGTGAGAGAGGAGGAGTTTTTGTGTGAACAAATCTGCAGATGATGGAGGCTTTAGGACGGATGCGGGCGGCAGGTTTGGTGATATGAGTGTGTCAGTGGCTGTGGCTGTGGCTGTGGGTGTGTGCGGGGGAGAACAAGGAGTGAGGCGCAATCATTTCCACCGAGTGAGTAGCGTTCTGCCTCAGCTTACGGCAGCGGAACCGTGGTTAAGGCCAGATGAGACCATCCACCCCCCTGTGTGCGAGTGTTGCCATGACAACGTAGCAAATCTCTTTTTAAGATAGCGTGAAAAAGGACCCCCCCCCCCCCCCCCACCCC